GGGTGGGGAGGGGGAGGAAAAAGGATTTTTCCTGACTTAACATCACGGATGAGTTGCCAGAAGTGTTTCAGAGAACTAGAACCACATACGCTACTCAAAGCTTCTAGCAAACCTTTTTGCTATTACTACCTTGCAAGTTTAACTTCTATCCTTGATGTGGAAATAACCATAGAAGGAAAAATTACTATCTAAAGATAAGTGAAAAGAAGCTGTTTTATTGAGATGTAAATCTGATTATCAGTTTTCAACTGAATTGTGAAATTAAATGATAAGGAAATATAATCTAATTGTGTCTGGATTTATTTACTAAGGAAAACATTTAATTTCAATTTGCTTGAACACAGAAAACTGAATGAAGGACCATAGACAGAGTTAATAATAAAAAGCACTATACTGAATTAGGGAAGAGTGACACATGAATGAATGGTTCAGAATGGTCTTACTTACTTTTTTTAATGCCACCAATTCATTCTTTGAATTTATAAGGTAGCCAACTGGCAACATGTTCTGTGTTCTAAGTTCATTCAAACATTTACAAAAGGAAAACACCTACTAGTATCTAATATAAAAATAGGTCTCCCTGTTCTCCAGCACAGCCAGACAGATTATCTCAAACACACAGTGTTCCTAACAGTAAATATGGATCTCCACACTGCTCTCTCCTCAGAGAGCCGAGTCTGGCTTTGCAGCACCAGTGTAATATTAATAACTCTGTGGGAATCAGTGGAGAACAAAGAAAGGTGAGATGGTCAGGACAAGAGCCCAGGTACTTTTCTTTCTCAGGAGTGAAATGCTGGGCAGTGAACAAAGGTATTTTTGACTGCATTTGTACCTGACGATTGCCCCCTGCTTTCACCATTGCCATGATTATATTCTCTGTGGCCATGAATGGCAGCTCCTGCCGGATCCTCCTCTCAATCACCTTAAACAAAACAAAACAAAACAAACTGAAAAAAGAAACAGCATTATAGCAATTCTGTAAACATCAGGGACTCTCAGTGAAGTCTTCCTCTCTCTTTGAATCTCTAGGACGGGACAATGATGCAAAGATAATCTCTCTTTTGAACTCAGCTATGGAAATCCAGGTTTGAAGCTGCTAATACTTAGAATCTGTATCTTGTAAGGGACATTACAGTGGAAAAGATGTACAATTAAATTTTCTTTAACCTGTAGGTAAGTGGCAGGACTGTACAAGATCTGTCTTGACAGTATCTTTTGGCAGTAAGTTCTACAGATCTGTCACATAGTTCAGGGAAAAATATACTTTTGAGAAATTTTTAATTTACTACCTTTTGGCTTCAACAAGTACCCTTTCATGTCTGTCCTGCAAACAGTGAGAATATAGTGAGAATGGAGAGCAAAATTCAGAAACTGTTTGAACTAATAGATAAAAATGTAATCCTCTGAGTGGGAGGTTTTTTTATACACTTTGGCATGGCAGCGGCATTATCAAGGATGCAACACTGCACACATTATCTCCTGCTTTACCTTTGGATATACCACAAGTCCCTCGGAGATATTCTGCAGTGTACTCAGAATGATGTCAGCTGTGAGGAAAGCCTCAGCCAGACACACGCGCCTATGAAACACACATAGCCAGGGCCCCAGTTAGCAGAAAGGCTGTGTTCCTGTCTACCTCACATCCAGCTCTCTTTAGTTTCTGTAAGTAATGCTGTAAATTATTTTTAAACTAAAATAATTTTATTTTATTTTAATTTTTATCCAGGCCCTAAAGCTGGAACCATCCACCTTATAGGTGCTTCTTGCTGCTTAAAGGCCACAATCAGGAAACCTAAAACAACATATAGCTCTCAAGCTGGGGAGTCAGGAGAATTTGGGGATTTTTTTTTTTTTGGCCAAAGCAGAGAAAGTAGAAAAAAGTAGAGAAAGGGAGAGAGAGGAAGAGAAAGGGTAAAGGTGCACATTGAAAACTCCAAAATAATTCAATGATAACACAGCTAGGAAAGAGGGCAGCAATTTACAGAGCTAGCAAACACAGAAGACTTTCTTCCCCTGTGTTCCCCTGTTTACTGATCCTGCTCTCCAGGACTAAGACACGCTGCATGATCACACTGTGCCTGGCTCTGGGGGCGCTTAGTGGGGATCCACGCATTTGGTGGGGGCTTCCTCCAAGAGACCAGCTCCTGGTCACAAAAGAGGCTCCTGACAAAAAAGAATGCCAAAAAGGAAAGGAGGGAAAGGACAGGAGTAGTGGGGACTGAGCTGTATCAGGCAAAAGGCTCTGTGTCACAGTGCAGCAATTACAGCATCACCCTCCTGTGAGAGCAGTGCCTGGCCCATTCTAAACTGTGACCTTTTAAAAGATACTAATACTTGAACCTTGTGCTACATGTAAGGCCCCCAATTCTGTCACACTGTCTCCAAAAGGACTTTGCTGTTCTACAGGTTGACTGCACTTTCTCTGGCTTGCTCTCCTTTCAAGACACCATAGCTTTAACAAGAAAAATCCAAGTCACAAAATTTTTTAATTGGATTATGAAGTGGACCAATGATCCCTTCTATTAGCTGAGGTGAAAATAATATTTGAAACACTCCAGTAAATCTCTCCATACTTGGTAGCTATTGGGAAATAAAGACACCGTATCAACCAGTATCCAATTTCTTAAATTTACATTGTTTCTGATGCCTATGCAGCTCTTTTCTTAACAAGACTAGCAGCTGTGGAGTAAAGGCCTTTTGGGAAATTATCTTCTATGCTTTCATGAAATTTATACAGACATTATGGTTGTGGAGACATTTTTAAAATAACATTCTCATCAACGATCTGAACACTAGTCTATAGCCAAAACTGCTGTTGTTCATTGTTTCACAAGCCCCATGTCTTAGAAATCTAAAGATACAAAGATTTCTAAGATTCTAGGAAATCAAATTCAGCAACAGAAGATTACTTTGAAACTAAAACGTTTCAAAGGTAAATATAGACTTTATGCAAATTTAATACTAACTGGAAGATTAAAACATTAAATTTAATTGCTATAATTTACTTAAAAAAAATTATAGATAACTTTTGCTCATCTCAAAATAGTCATAATGAAGAATTCGATAACAAGACAAAGCTTGCTGAGCAATATCTAAAAGACCTGCACAAAATTTCATGAAGCATTACCTGAAAAAATAACTTTTGTGCTCTTTCTTTAGGATCTGAACTAATTCTTGTAAAGAACAACACTTTATAAAGAAATGAAAATAAGTTTCTTTAGATTATTTGAAGGGTTAAGGAATTACAGATAAAATGCTGAATTATTCTTTAAGAAGTGGAGAAGGGACAAAAACCATTCAAAACAGACAGGGAGGAAAATTTGAGAAATCTAAGGACTGCTATAGTATGCCGTTTAAACAGGAAAACTATGAGAGCAATTTATCACCATGGTTTCTGCATCCCTCCCTCTCTCTGCTGGTTTACTTTGCAGAAGATCTTGACATTAAAAAAACCCACCAGTTTTCATCTGATCTCAGAGAGGAAACCAGTTTATAGTCTCTACATTCTACCGAGACTGCTTTTCATCAAGGTGGTAACTTGTGGTTTTAGTTTAAAAATAGTATTTTCTAAATACATCAAAGGACCTTCCTGCACAAGACCTTCTGAAACTGCTGCACTGCATGATCTAAACAAACCTGTTGGCACTGTCATCCAACGTTCGCTCAAACCACTGCACAGAGGCTGTTTGGAGGGGATCCAGCACCAGAGTCATCAGGTGTCGAGCCAGGCTGCAGCAGCGCTCTGAACGCATTGGATTCCTCTTGTACGGCATAGCACTTGAACCTGTGAAAGGAGAAAGAGTGATGGAAACAGGACACAGAAGTAGTGCATTCGGGAAAAAGAGATGAAGGTACTCCCTCAGATAAGAAAAATGTGTCAGGAATCATGTTTTTGACTACAGCATCAAAACATAATGATTTTCTAAGGACAAAATGGAATAAAGAAAATGACACCATCACACCTCCCCTTCAGATTAGAAACCTGCAAATGTGGGGAGGAAAAAAGTGAAAAGCCTTTTTGCAATTCTGCAAAACTGAAGTACTACCACATAAAAAGAACAAATGGACTTAATTTTTAATGCAGTATTTGGTACCATCTCTCTAGGCCACCCATGGCAACTTCAGCAGTGTTCAAGACCCCATCTGCTCAGTAACATTTGTCCTTCAAAGTCACTTACACTGCTGCCTGTTGCTCTGGTGAATGGATACCAAAACCAACCATAGAATGTACAATGATTCAAGTAACATATACAACTAAGACTTAATTTTCCAATTCAATCCTATGCAACTATTTATGATGCCTGCCTGAACTTTCTTCCAGCCAAAACTCTACATTTCCCTCTCCCCTTCTACCAATGTCAGAATCACACCATTGGTATTCTTCTGCCAAGGGTCCAGCGTAGTTTTATGGTTCCAAATTTGTCTGTTTATAAAGACCAAAATGCTGAGTCAAGCTGAAAACCTACAGCTCCAGTCAGCTTCATGAGGAATGGAAAACACTAAAAATGCCTCAGACACAAGTCTTCCTCTGTGGGGAATACGTGACTGCTTCTGCTCTCCCACCAAGTGCAGAAATACAAATCTGATTTTAATTACTTAATATCCAGAAGCCTTTGGGTAAAGTGCATTTTTTTTTTCCTTTAAACAGGACACAAAATACTAACAATGTCAAACCTCAGTTAATTTAAAGCAACTTCTGTCAGTGACATTTCTAAGTTTGCTTAAAAGTCTGCATCAACATAAATGAGAAGATACATACACTGATCTAAAAAATGTCTCCCATCCCTTACCAATCTGGTCCTTCTCAAAAGGCTCCTCTATCTCCTTCAGGTTGGCCAAAAGACGAATGTCAGTGCAAATCTAGAAAAAAGATCAGGAAATTAGCAAACAGAACCAAACTAACACACACCAATATATACTCCTGTTAGTGTTCTTGGAGAAGTGTTTGTATCTGTGTCTAGGAAGTAAACTGGAGGGACAATGAAAAATTTGACAAAAAAAATTGACACTGCAATCATACTTCCCGGCCTAAAAATCCCAGTCAAGAACACATAGGGAAAAAAACATGTTTGCTGTATTAGAATAGAACAGGACTCCAAGAAGGGCAAATGTTTGCAGGGAATGGAAGACAGACCAGGAGGGAACACTGAAAATGCATAACAAAATTACAGTGATTTGCAAACAGATAATGTGTGCTCCCTGAATGAGACAGCCTACAAAACTAAACCAGAAGAAAATACCACAGATCACTTTAGCCCAAGAGGAGGAGGAGGGAGGAAACAGAGATAAATCAATGAAAAGAATCCACAAGGACAGAGAGAATAACACCATTATCAGAGAAGCAATTAACTAGGAGCAGATGGTGAAATTTAAAAACTCATATACCACTAGGAAAGACATTTGCTCTAATTAGATCAATTTAGCATAGATTAGACTAATATCTGGTGTGGGATTTGTTAACCCATCTTAGAATCTGCTCAGTAAACTTGCTTTATTTGCCACTGGTCTGAAGATCTTTGAGGTTTGATAATTAGGCATGTACCTAGCAGCAATTTACATGATCACAAAGAGAACAAAACAGCTGAACAAGAAACACCAATTAATATTTCTTGAGAAGAGCATTCTGCACCATCAGCACCTTTTCTTGAAGATGTAAAATGTTTCCCCCTCTTCCCGATGTATACAAATAGGACGCTCACCTTGTGTATAGATGCCCCTAGACTGGCCAGCACAGACAGGACTTCAATATCCACCTTGCGACTATAGGTCTGCCCTGTGACCATATAAGCCCTAGAAATAAGCACAGAAGTCCTTTCACACAGAATCACAAAATGGTAGGGGCTGGAAGGGACCTCTGGAGATCATCTAGTCCAACCCCCCTGACATAGAAGGTATATCTAGAACAAGTTGCACAGGACTGCATCCAGGCGGGTTTTGCATATCTCCAGAGAGGAGACTCCACAACCTCTCTGGGCAGCCTGTTCCAATGCTCTGTCACCCTCACAGTAAAGAAGTTTTTCCTCATGTTTAAGTGGAACCTCTTGTGGTAGTAAGACTAATTTAAATGTGAGGTTTATACACCATAGTCACCACTGTGACAATTTCTTATTAAGCTTCTTCAGAGTTCATGATAAGGAGAACACAGTCCTTGCTGCTTATTTCTCCTGATGGATCACCTTCTAACAACACTTCAACATTAGATCATTCTTCATACTTCTCCCCTGTTAAGACTTCTATTGTGTTAAAATTTCTAACTTAAGTGAGTATTTATAGACAGAAAAACCACCTCATTAAACTTTTCTGCTATGACACTGGCTTCTCCAAGTGTCCTTTTTGTAACTTCATTATCCATTAGTGTGAGAAAAGCACTCAGAGGTCTTGTTCAAACTGAAATCTTAACTTTAAAGCTCTGTATCAATGAACTGCTGCAAAAGAGCATGATAGTTTTGCAAGTCAAGTGCTTTAGACAGATAAAACTGTATAGACAGTTTAGACAGATAAAACTGTACTGCAAGACTTTGAGCAAGGAGTGAGATGGCTCTTTGGATTCAGGCTGTCAGTTTTGTGGGGCAGCGTGCAGATGGGAAAGAGAGAAGCACAGGAAAAATGGACAGTAATGCTCTGACAGGGAGACAAGTAGAAGCGGCCTATTTAGGAGGTGAAGTTTCCTATGGGAGGCTGAAACTGGGAATGGAAGATGGCAAGGGGAGATTAGTCAACAGCAGCACAGATGTCAGTGTGGCAGCTAGTGGAATCTAGGCCAACATGGACAGCAGCAGTTACGCTTTGCTAACATCAAACTGAGGTGACTAAGCATGCTTGTTACATACCTCTTAAATCCTGCCTTTGCAGTCACTAATCTGTCCAGCTCTTCAACCTCAGGGTGAAGAAAGAAACAAAACAGAGTTCAGAGTGCAACAACTCGGGAAGGTCAGCAACGGCAAAAAGGATCCTGTGCTTCTCTCAGTTTACTATCAACAAATGTTATATTTACTTAGAAGCAACCCTGCCCCAAACTCTGCTTGCTTTCACACACGGCCTTGTCAGCAGGCCTCAGAGGGATTTTGGTGCTCTTCTGAATTTGATGCCAATACCTCCATGTTCCCCCGAAGAGCACAGCATTGCACAGGGGAGAATCACCAAGACCGCAAATCTATGCCCTGCTAACTTACTTTACTATGATCTCCCTCAAAGAGCTGCAAGAAGCTGGCTTGAGTGCCAGTGGTGCCTTTTACACCACGAAAACGCAGGTCATCCCGAGCCCGCTCCAGGTTCCGCAGGTCCATGCACAAGTCCTGAATCCACAAGCAGCAGCGTTTCCCCACAGTGGTGAGCTGTGCAGGTCTGAAAACAACCAAGAACAGAATGTGACTCAATGACAACTTGCACAATAACTCCAGGACCACACTACAAAAGGACCAGTCCTACAAAACTAAAACAGACTATAAAAGGACCGTGCTTTGCTGCTGAGTCTACTGTTAAGACCTCCCTGCAGGTTGGTCTCTGACTCCTCTGAGCAGAAATTAAAAAGGTTTGGCTTATGCAGGAAGATGTAACAGTACATATATATCACCAGAAAATGGTATGGGAGATATGATCATTCTTTTCAGGAATTAGATGTAATGACATCAAGGGAAAACAGTAATTGTGGTCTCTGCACGCGTTACAGGATTAAGAAGTAAGTGAGAACGGGTATCTGACCATATCTTCACTACTACAGCGTTTGGGAGCTTCTTAAAGAAGAGTGACCGCAGGCTCCCTAGTCAGAACATGGAAAACGCGTTTCACGGCGCTTTTCCAGAACTCCAGCCAGCGGAAACGGCTCGGTCGGTGCAAGTAACGCGACTTCCCCGGCCCCCCCATCCTGGGGCACCCC